TTATGGCCAATGGTTTTATTTAATAAAGTTTTATATTAATATATTTAATTCCTATCTTATTTAGTGTTTTTGAGTTAACCAATAAAAAATGCTGCGACCCTTTCTTTGCCAAAAGTGTGTGTTTTTATTCATGGGTTTGGTTATGTTTATTGTTTATTATGAATGTCGCTTGCAGTTCCATGTTTCTGATCGGGATTTGAACCGGGGACCCACAGTGCTAACCAGTACAACCACTCTGCTGCACAACTAGTCTATCTCACGTTGATATTTTATATGTCTGTCCCTGAATGCCACACGTACCTCAGGTACCGCAATCCTGGAAACTGAGGATCCCACTGGAATCTGCCTCAGACACATATAGGACACTTTGGACAGAGATAAGACACTACTTCTATGTACTTTATCAGTGTGCGCATATCTGTCCCAAAGTTTGTTTTACAAGCCAGCTCCAGGTTCATAGGTTTACTCCTAATTCCTAAATGCTATGCAGCCTTGTACATGAATTTGGTGTGCATGCCGGCACTATTCCTGTACAGACGTGTTTCCTAGGGTGCCCACACACCTTACGATAATCGCGGGAAATACCGCGATCGTACGATTATCGTAAGGTGTGTGGAAGCCGTGCGACCTCTACTACTATAAGGTTGCACGACTTTTAACTTACGAACATGTTCGAAAACCCGCCGATCATCGCAAGTACGAGCTGCCTGTCCAAGATAGGCAGATCGTACTTTTTTTTAATTACCTTACAACCATCGCAAGACAAAAGTCTTGCGATGGTTGTAAGTAGAGGTGCACCGAAATGGAAATTTTAAAACTGAAACAAAACCGAAATTAAAAAAAAATGTTAGGCCGAAACAGAAAATGGTTTTTATTTTTATTTTTTCAAAATATTTTATTTTTTATAAACTTTTTAATTTTTATTTATTAATTAATTTTTCATTAAATATTTGTATTTTTTACTTTACTTTTAGGGGCATCGGGGAAATATTAGGGGTCTAAACAGCCCCCTGATATTTCCCTCTTAAAATAGAAAAAGAGATTGAGGACAGAGAGTCCTCAATCTCTTTTTCTGTGTCCCCTGTTATCAATGAACAGGAATCCTCTATGAGTGTTCCTGTTCATTGATAACATGAGAACATTGTTTTTTACTATAACTACAATTATGAATGAATGCGGTTGATGTAGATCACTCCCATTCATTCATAATTGAGGCTACAGTTAACATACCATGTCCTCAATAATGTACACACACTCAGTGATCACTGATCGCTGAGTGTGTGTACCTTGCTTTTCTCTCTGACACACACTGTCACAGGAGGCTGATCGAGCGGTGTAGAGAGGAAAGCTCAGCCTCCTGTGACAGCGCTGTCTCCGCCCCCCACACCGCTCTGCCGGACTGTGATAGGTGGCAGAGCGGTGTGGGAGGAGACGCACCGCAGTGCTCGGCCGGCTGTCACTTTCTTTTTCCCCCGCTGGAACAGCGCCCAGCGGGGAGTAAAGAAACCAGGGATGCGCCGATGTATCGGCGGCAACATGGCTCTTTCGGCATTATGCCAAAAGTGCCATTTTCGGCCGATATGTTTCAGCGCCGATATATCGGTGCATCCCTAGTTGTAAGGTGTGTGCCCAGCACTACACTCTCTTTGAATTCCCCTGTTTGTGTGATCACATGTGTGTCCAGTGTGCCTGGGGCCTACAGACAAAATATCCAGGTTGCCCGGTGTTTGTTTTACAACAACTAGTGTAAACAATGCAAATCGTATTCTGAGACCTCGCCTATTCCTGACACTGAAACAATGTCTCTGCTACAAATCATGAGGAAGTTCTAATGTGCCGATGTCTCCTTGTTGCAGTGCAGCCATTTGTGGACTATTTTCTATGGTATTGTATTTGTGGTTTAATTACCCTAAGTTAGCACGCTGTCCCACTATGGATCAATGCATGCAAAAACAGGCACACGTCAATAATAAAAAATGTATCTGATCCCAAGAACAGGAATCTGATCTATGGCAGCTCCCTAGTCCTTAGATGTGGTGACTGCATTTGTTTTCTTTGGGGGGGGGTCCTTTATTCTTGCCTGGTGATTCTGCCAGTAACACACTTCCTGTTCTAGGGGGACAACCAGGCCCGGATTTACTCTCTCTGCTGCCCCAAGGCCAGGTTCCTCAATGTGCCCTCCCTGTATGCAGGATGCATACAAGTGATCTCGGCGACATTGCCGAGATCACTTGTACAAAACAAGCGGCAGCTTTCCCGCTGTACATTTAGCCCTGCTTGCCCAAACCAGGGCTAAATGTAGAAAACAGCTACCCACCTGACGCCTGGAACTGCATATCCCAGGCGTCGGGAGATAGGAATTCCACACCCCTGTTGCCCCTCTACTCCCTGCTGCCCCGAAGCTGGCCCTTGTGGGAAATGCGGCCCTGGGACAACGCAACACACTGTACTGTGTCTATGGAGCGATACCATTGTCACACTGCTCCCTTCTGATCTGGATTACAGAATGTCTCCCTCTTATCTTATCTCCAATACATAGAGGGGAGCGCTCTTTAGTCCACAGAGGTAACCATGGCAGAGCTGATAAGACTCCTTGGGATGTCAGTGCAGAAAAGGCAACATGTCAGCTCAAAGGAAGTGAGGCACTCACTGGATTTCAGACAGAATCAACAGGAACATTTGGCATTTATTAAACTGATATAACAAAATGCTTTCACTGGAATATTCAACAAATGAAAAAAGTGAAAATAAAGGTCTCCACACACTGATCGATGCAACTAAGATGATCGAATTGAATTAGAATTGCTAACCACACCCGCACGGTCTCGCCCCCAACTCACACACCACTTCTGCCACCCCCCTAAACTTTCCTCGCAGTGTTCCCTGCTCCGCCCCCTTTCCAGCACGGTCCCGCCTCCAACTCACACACACACACACCACACCTGCCGCTCCCCTAAACTTTCCTTGCAGTGTTCCCGCTCCGCCCCACCTCCCAGGACGGCCCCGCCGCAGCGCGCACACACACACACACACACACGAATCCATTCAATCCCTCCACTCGCTCTGCAGAACGCTCGCTGACAGCTCTTGGCAGATGGTCACATGGCACGGCGATGCCCGGTCACATGACCGTGACGTCACGGGCTTGGAACTAGTTGCTACGTACAGACAAGATGTGGCTGAGACCGGAGGAGGTGCTGCTGAAGAATGCATGGAAGCTGTGGGTGACCGAGACCTCCAACCCGTACTTCGTGCTGCAGAGGAGAAGAGGTTATAGGGAGGAAGGAGGGGGACTCGCAGGTACACCATCTCCATCTGTCTCTATCTCCACATCACATCTGGCTGCTGCTGACGTGGTGACTGTGCTGCCCACATCTGATAGAGATATCACTGATCAATGCATCGCCATTGGAATCATGACATTCCTGCTGAAGTTAGTTTTCTGAAAACAAAAACACTTCATTGTATGTTTTATATCATCACACAATATATCCCTGTTATAGTTATTATTGTCCTATCGTATCAGAAATCTGTATGACTTTATGGAGGGCAAAGGGCCAATCAGGTCAGCCTTTGTCTATCTATATACCCCAGTACACGTCATTATCTATATACCCCAGTACACGTCATTATCTATATACAATATGTATGTACCCCAGTACACGTCAGTATCTATATACAATATGTATGTACCCCAGTACACGTCAGTATCTATATACAACATGTATGTACCCCAGTACACGTCAGTATCTATATACAACATGTATGTACCCCAGTACACGTCAGTATCTATATACAACATGTATGTACCCCAGTACACGTCAGTATCTATATACAACATGTATGTACCCCAGTACACGTCAGTATCTATATACAATATGTATGTACCCCAGTACACGTCAGTATCTATATACAATATGTATGTACCCCAGTACACGTCAGTATCTATATACAATATGTATATACCCCAGTACACGTCAGTATCTATATACAATATGTATATACCCCAGTACACGTCAGTATCTATATACAATATGTATATACCCCGGTACACTACAATATGTATATACCCCGGTACACTACAATATGTATATACTGTACCTTGGTACACTACAATATGTATATACCCCGGTACATTACAATATGTATATACCCCGGTACACTACAATATGTATATACCCCGGTACACTACAATATGTATATACTAGGGATGCGCCAAAACTTTTCAGATACCAGTGCAGATACTTGGCATTTTCAAGAGAACTACCAGGGTTGCTGCGGTTGCAGCTGTGACCTGGCTCTGGCACTCCACCAGCGTCCTGAAATCATTAGTCTGTATTGTTCTAGAAAAACTGTCACATGACAATAAACAAGAATGTATCAGTACTCGTACTTGTAAGTACTCAGCAAGTACCAGTACTCGTACTTGCAAAAATGGTATCTGTGCGTCCCTTATATATGTTTATAAAAACAAAATTGTACATTAAAACAGAGATGTACTAATCCCAGGAGCTCCGTGTGCTCCTTACAAATGACAGCTGCTTCCTCACTTGAATTTTTCTCTAGTCTAGTCTTGGACCTGGAAAAGTATCTGTACTTGTACTTGTACCGGGTACTGTACTTGGTATCGGTGCATCCCTAGTATATACCCCGGCAGACATCGTTATGTATATACCTCTGTACACTACAATATGCATATACCCCTGTACATTACAATATGTATATATTATATGTCTATATAC